TCACTGCTCTGTGTGCTGCTGCGTGAACATGTGACAGCGCTTGGTCTGGAGCACTGCGTTGAACAGGTGTACGAAAACACAGTTATCTATTTGGAGGATGACAAGCGTGTTTTGCTCGACCGCAAGTATGGACGTGTCGGAAGAAGCCTTCTGAGAGAAGAACTCTTACGAAGGTGCGTGCTCGATGTCATGGTAAGTCCCGATTTGCATCAGGATACGAGCAGTCGAGACACACACGCACACAAACATGCCTATCTATCTATCTATCTATCTATCTATATAGTTATAGAGGACTGCACGGGATTCATACGCAGGAAAGGAGAAAGGGAGAAGGGGCTGTTGCAAATGGTTCCATCGGAGTTTCACCGACTCATATATGTACTTATGCACACACTCACATAGAACAGAAATGCAGAGATCCTGAAAGGCCAACAATCAGTCATTCAGAGCACAAAGCGGAAAAAAAACGAAGAAAGAAAAAAGAGCAGATGGAAAGCAGATGTGAATGCTCATAGTGGGAAGAGAGAGATTTCTATATGTAAGGAGACGCTGGACCCAGTCGCCAGCGGTTGAAGCTCCCAACCAATAGATTGGTGCTTCGTGTCTCTTGCTATCCCAGGTAGGAGTACCATGCTTGTGAGAGAGAAGAGTGGTGACTTAATGGGTGATCTTTGCGTGCTACCTACCGACTTCACTGGAATACAATGTATGGTCAGTATATCTGTAGTATGGGCAACTTCCAGTCTACATACAGCCATAAGAACCCTATGTTCTTTTTTGGGGGACGACAGTAGCTGAAGAACGGCCTCAGATCGCTGCTTCGGCAGAGAATGCAAGGTAAAAAAAGAAGCGGGGAGGGGGGGGGAAGTGGGGGCGGAGAGGGGGAGGATGGCATACACCACATGCCAGATCTACGTGGTTTACCTGCCCCGGTGGCTCAATAGTACACACCTAGAATTGCTGGCTGACTGACAGGTTAGGGGTTCAAATGGAATCCTGGACCAACTTATACTGATACATAATGCAGATGATCGTATTGGAGGAGAAAGGAAGCAAGGAAAGCAAAAGGGGAATATACTATATGCAGTACCTCTGAGCAGATACCTGCTTGGCTGGTGGCTGAATGGAAACTCCTCTTCTTTTCCTCAAAAATTTGGACCATTTGTAAGTGTTCGCATGTCATACTTGGATGCGCAGGGGCCATGTTGATCTTCTCTGTCTTGCTCCAATTTTAATGGATGTCCTGAACAACAAGCCGAATGGACAGTCCTAGAGACTACTAATCCGGAGATCTGGGGCTCAAATCTTTCCCAGTTCGTGATCCGTCCATTCTTGCAAAGATCTCTATTTCCCCGCAGATGGAAAAAGACTATTGGGAAACAGAGTGCAGAAGACATGAAGATCAGAATACATGAGTGCAGCCCCTAACGTTTAGCATGCAGTCAGGGTTTGAACTCTTGACCTATTCATGCCTTCCTCTGCCTTTTGGCTAAAGATAGATAAAGTGTAGAGTATGTTCTGGTCAGTTTAATCAACTTTAATGTCTGATCAATACAGCTCCTACCATTTTTTGCATGCATCAGGCTATGGACTCTTGACCTATTCATGATTTCGTACCTTTGTACGCTTTTTGGCTGAAAATAGGTGATGTAGTATCTGTTGATTCTGTTCTGATCAGTTTAATGTCCGAACTGCGGTACATCGGGCCACATTAAAAAACAAAAATCTTGATGTATCTTTGTGATCAATTTATTACCTGCTCCGTGGTCCTTACGGCCAACGTCAAAAAACAAAAAAAATTAAGAACATCTTGACGTATTTATACCTTCCTTTATACCTTCCTTGCCGGCCTGTTTGCTAAAAATAGATAAAGTGTAGTATGTGTTCTGATCGGTTTAATTATTTAATATGTGATCCGTGGCCCATCGGGTCACACAAAAAAGAAATCTTGATCTGTTTGATCCGTAGCCAGGTATGCACCATATAGCCAGAGGCTTGGAGTGGAATACTAACTTGTATTCTGCAGGAGGTTGGGGCAAGAAACAACTCTGTCATCTTCACAGCGTTGTGCCTGGCAAAGCGATTTGAGTTGCAACTGCGAGGTGTTGATCAACAACCCCTTGAACCAGGGGTATGGACCCCCTCACTGTTCGAGGAGTGATTTATGCAATTGGTCATTTGCCTTCTGGACATTTTTATGTTGGACAGATGATGCATTCTGCACATCAACGGCTGCAAGAGYATTGGCATACACGATRCTCTTCTGCTGCTCTTCACCATCGCCATCTCTACCGCTCTCATTGTGTAGATTGGCGCACACACTTGGAGTGGAATACTAACTTGTATTCTGCAGGAGGTTGGGGCAAGAAACAACTCTGTCATCTTCACAGTGTTGTGCCTGGCAAAGCGATTTGAGTTGCAACTGCGAGGTGTCGATCAACAACCCCTTGAACCARGGGTATGGACCCCCTCACTGTTCGAGGAGTGATTTATGCAATTGGTCATTTGCCTTCTGGACATTTTTATGTTGGACAGATGATGCATTCTGCACATCAACGGCTGCAAGAGYATTGGCATACACGATACTCTTCTGCTGCTCTTCACCATCGCCATCTCTACCGTGCAATGTGTGGGCAACCAGCATTCAACTTTGCGGCTTGGCCCTTGGAATGCATCGATCCTACCCTTCATCATACGTCGGAAGGTCTTATTGATCACGCCCTCTTTCGACGGGCTGCTGCACCTCGCGAGGGTTTCTGGGTTCGGAAACTTCGAACTCTTCGCCCGTCGATTTCAATGCAGTCCTTCCAATGGCTAGATTGCCGTCTCCACGACGACACTTCCGCCCTCATCATTTGGCACAAATGGGCCCTCGTCCCTTTGCTCCTCAGGCCCCGGCGGGTACGACTTTTGCAATGGCTTTAGAATAATGTATCCAATGCAGACATGACAATAGGCATTCGAAAACTTGAATGCCTCATCCGGAAATCCTAGCATACCCGCCAACGTTACACAACACAACCTCGTGACCCATTTACTGACCACATCAAGGTCTTTCATGCGCATGAGGTAGTTCGCGCTACGAACTTGCGCTATGTGTTACAATTGCCGTAAGTAGTTGCATTGCACCCACGAGTGTCCAGTTTTGGAACTTCACTGACGTGGGCTTGTGTGTTGTTCCTGGCATGACCTTACCTGACTCCTCTAATTGCGAATGCCGCAGAGCCTATCCACATTGTTCTGATCTTGTCGATGACGGTGTTGTGTCTGTTGACTACAATATCATCTTCGATGATAGCCTTCACAATCTTTTTCAAGAAAGCTCGAAGTATCGGTTGAATGGGGAAACTGCCAATGTGCTCCAGGCACTAGCAGTTGGACTGGATGAGTACATTGCCAATTACAAAAGGTTGTTGGTTGGGCATTCTCGATCTGCTTGTTTTTCGTCTCTTTCTCAGAAACTGAACAAGTGGCGTTCTGCAATCCTTGTGCATTGTCAATCCAATGCATCTTCGTTCTACAATCATGTGAGCTAGCCACGTTCATTTCGTTCTACACATGCCTCCTTGCGCCATCTTCAACAACACTTTGCCATTGTTGTTGTGGACAAAACACCGCACAATTTGGCAATTTGCTGCAAGAATTGGTATCTGATTCATCTCTCTACCCATTTGGACAGTCCCACTTATACTCGTCCTCAAGAGTCCGTTGCTGATGTCTTTGACCACCATGCAATGTGGAATCACCATTGGGTTTACACCCGCACTGATACCCTACCTTACCTTTACTATGTACTCAAAACTCACAAATCTCCTCCAGCTCTTCGCAGCATTCTTGGAGTCGCAACACAAAATAACAGTGTTGTTTCCCCGTGCGCTCGCCCTCGTCCAACAATTCACACCATTAATGAACGGCCTCCTCAGAAACCCTTGGCTAGCACAACGACCACTACGTCGTATCTCAACGCTACTTTGCAAGGAGTGATCTCTACTCTTCGCGAGGAAGACATTGAGCTCTATCAACAGGTTGCTGTTAGGCAGTGTTGGATCGTTTAGAGTGCTGATGAAGTGGCGATTGACCTGAAAAACAATGCATCGTCTCTTCGTGGCCTCTCTCCTCGCACTGTTGATTTTTCCACACACCAACCTTCCTTTTCACCGCATTCTGAATAATGTGCAAAAGCTGTTGATGAAGCTCATGCTCATGCCCTTTGGCATGCTCACACGCATTCACGCTGCGTTGCCCTCGACATGGTTATTTGAGGACCTCGTTGTGGCCAGTGGACGACCGATTCAAGGTTTGATACCCTTTCCGTTTCTCAGTTTTTCCAACATCTTCGCTTTGTTGTACAAAGCATTTTTCTGTACACTAGAGATGACACACTTGGGAAACAAATTATTGATATTCCAATTGGAACGAATGCTGGCCCAAAAAATTCTAATTTGACGCTGTATTGGGATGAAGCACGCTTTGTTGATGACATTCGTCAACATGATCTTCAAGCCACTCAACAATATGCCTTCACCTATCGCCTCATTGATGATGTTCTTTCATGGGGACATTTACCTCCTCCACCAGAGCACTATGGGCTTGAGTGGAAGGAGACTACAACGACAAATGACTCCGGTACCTTTTTAGGTATGTATCTACGGGTCTGATCCGGTGGCTCGCTTAAAGCGGCTGCTTGGGACTTCTCTGTCATTCATTATCCAAGTGCGACCTCCAACGTCCCTTCCCATCAACCGATTGGTGTGTTCATTGAGCAACTGACCAGGTTTGAACAAATCTGTAACAATTGGTAGGACTTTTGAACTGCGGCAATAACACTTGTCGCATGCTTTCGTGTGGGCATTCTCCACCAACCTTTGCTAAGGGGTGGACCTGCTACATGCGCTCTCGTCGCTATCCTACGCATGTGACGTGTCTCACTCAATGGTTCCGACGCATGTTGTCATGGTCCTTGTATCATCCAATTTCATCTTCGCCCCCAAGGTGCTCTCTTTCTGCCCCTGCTTGCTCATCTGCTGCTACCACAGTTTCCACTGCTGCAGTCTCCGCTCGTGTAGTGTCCACTGTTGTGGTTTCCAGTGTTGCAGTGTCCACTGTTGCAGTTGCCACTGTTCTCGTTTCCTCTGCCACAGTTCCCGCTGCTGCAGTTTCTACTGCTGCGGTTCCATTGCTGCAGTTTTCAGTATAACAGTTTCCATAACTGTAAATCCCCATACTGTTGCTTTTACTGCTACAACTTCCTTTCTTGCAGCTCCAATTCAAAGAACATCACAATCTCTTTCACATTCACATCCTTTATTCCAAAATCTTGCCCAATCCACCCCCCTCTCATCTCTTTCTGTGCTTGGCCGCAGACGGTTGCGTTCCTCCTCACCACCAGAGGTGGACATTTTTTTTTTTCCTCACCCTCGACCCAACCCGCCCAATTGTTTTTTTTTGCCGTCCACCGGCCCAAGAATTTCATTTTTTACTTAGACGACCCCGCCCACCGAAAATATTTTTTGAAATTTCAGCCCCACGCCCAATCCACACGTGACCCGAAAAAAACCCTCACGCGGGCCCGCCCACACCTGTGAGAGTATCATCACCCGCCCACGTCCAATACCTAATTTTTTTTCATCTGCACCCACCCGCATCAACCCACACCTGCCCATGCCAGTCCCTTACACCATCACAATTTCATCGGCAACATAGTGTTGCAATGAAGACATTTGAAATCTTATTATCAAAACAACGGCAACATCGGCAATGAGACTCAATTTTCTCAAAGGAAAATAACTTAAGATCTTATCATTAGCACAAGCAACAAGGTATTAATAACTTCCAAAAAGTTCAAGATGAAACAAGCTCTACGTCAATGTGGCAAACGAGAATTTAAAAAACTATTCATCTCATGTGTTGATTAAGTCCTTGTTTGATCTAACGAACAAAATGTCGTTGACCATAGAATCGCCAAGAGAGTTTCGTTTCATCGTTAATGTGTTTCTCACATCCGAGAAATTGCACTCGCTCTTCAAGCTTGATGCGGGGACACATAAAACTGCACGAGCGGACCATGCCATGATGGGCAAAGGAGGGAGCAGTACTCGTTGATCCATCGTGGTGACAACCATTCCTTTCGCTCTCTACAAGGGGAGGAGTTCAAAAATACGTTTTTCGTCCTTCGTCAACTTCAATGTGAAATAATCATCAAACTCTCGTTGAATCTTCTCAGCTAAGGTTAGTGTCGTTGTTGCAGCCCTTCCTGACGTTCCTTCATCCTCTTCATCGGAGCTGCACAACCCGGCTTTGCCCTTCTTCTCTTCGCAGAACGCTCTTTTGCAGCCTCCACTGCCACCAACTCTACATCACCATCAATATATCTTGCATGATTGCCTTCAATTGGGCCCGCCAACGTCGATCTGGCCCGCTGGTGCCACCGCTTCTCCAACATTTGCGTTGTCGTCGGATGGGAAGTTGGCGGCGGGGCCGATTGATTGGAGAGGAGCCAAGGCCTAAGCGACGTTCAAACTCCAAAGTCGAACGGACTTTGGACCGAATCTGGTGGTGCACTACGACTCCATCCCCTCCCCATTTTTAAAAGTGAGTTGGGCGTGGACTGGAGCGCGCCTGTTTTTTTTTTGGTGCGAAGGCCCAAGGGGCAGCTGCACTGCTTGAGTGCGCCTCTTTTCTCTTCAGCTTCGGTGTTACTTTTTCAGGACCTGGGCAACTGGATCTAGCCTCCGTCTCTCTCTCAGCCTCAAGCCCGACGTACTACACAAAGGAGGGGGGGGGGGGTGTGCATAATTTTTGGGTCATCATGGGTCTATGGGTCGGGTGACCCAAGCCAAGCCATCACCCGCTCGCCACCCACCCAACGGGTGACATGCTGGCTGCACCCGCCCGTCACCCAGGAAGACATGCTGGCTGCACCCGCCCGTCACCCAGGAAGACATGCTGGCTGCACCCGCCCATAACCCACCCATAACCCACCCATAACCCACCCATAACCCACCCAAGATGGCTCATGTAGACCTAAATCCGACCCATCACCTTGTGGGTCGGGTGGGTGCAGGTGGGTACTGCCCTGGGTGCCCGGTGCCCAAAACTGATTGTTGGCCAGCATCCAACAAACCAGCCTGAGAACCTCACCAATCTCTGTGGTCTGACGACAACTAATATCTGTCTTCACATTCTCCACGACCCATTTTATACACCATCAGAGACTTCCTTGCAATCGCCCTTCAACTTGATGCTGATCTTCCCCAACTACGGCCAGAGGATTGTAACTATACCAGCGAAGGAGGCTTTACCATTGCTGTCCTAAAGGTAGCAATGAGGAACCGTCAACTTGAACTACGCAATATCGAGCAGGTGAGTGGCTTAATCCTCCATCCCACATCTCTGCCTGCATTGTGCACTTGTACTGCCTCTGACCACTGGGAGCTGTGGGGCAACGGCACCCTGGTCCATGCCATGACTGATGTCACTGATTTCTTACAAAATGATGCTGTTTTCTTCCCACAACAAACCGTCCGCAATCTCTTTTATGTCGAAGATCATTCCTCTGGCCCCATGCTGCAGCAAGACAATGTACCAACACTCTGCGACCTTCTCCTTTGCACAGCCACAAACACTGTTACACTCGGCTGTAGCCGCCATCGTCTCTGTCACAATCACTACAATGACATGGTTTCTGCATCCATGTGTGCAGAGGACTGTCCCTCTGTTCCTGACTGCAGGCACCCTCCACATCCGGACACTATATTTCCATTTTGCGGCCATGGGAGCTATACTGAATGCATGGTCTTTTGCGGTGACCGTTCTTCCTTCATTTTGGCCTGCAATTGACATGCCATTTGTCGGGGGTGTATGGTGGGCATGCTCAATGCCAGCCGCCGTGGCAATTGTTGCACTGAGAATGCTCAGCCAGGCCTTCCATGTGTTCATCCACCTCATCCTTACAATGTATGTTCTCTCTGTCGTCAAGGACAGACTCATTCTTGAGCCTTTTCTTATCCTCTCCTTTGCCTTCATCTTCACTCCACACTCCGTACTTTCGCTTGCTTTCCCTTTATCGTTCTTTGTTTGTCTGCTCTCCATCTCTCCCCCCTGTGTTTATCCCCTCCCCCTTCACTCCGTCGATGATCAACCGGTCCACGGGCCGATTGACAGTCCCGATGAACATATCTAGTCCCGATGGAGATAGTAGCAGGGTTTAAGCAGGGGGCCACTCAACTTGAGGTGGATCAGAGGAACGGGCAGTAGATAATTGAAGAAGGGGACACTGGTCCCAGTCTCCAGCAAGCTAGTATCCGGCAAAAAAAGAACCTTTAGAGCATCACTCTATAATAGTTATGTCAACAAGATCAGTTACAGCCTGCAATGGTTGGGAGGTGGGCTAGGGTTTAGGGCTTTAGCAAGGAACACAGCAATTACAATCCCACAGAGCACAGATCAATACAGATTTTAACCACAGGCTGCCATATCAGCAGTTGTAGCACGAGAAGAGACTCAGACAGCGGAAGAGCTGAGAGGAACGGTCAGGATGGAGAAAAAGATTTCAGCTACAAGTACCAGAGTAAACAAAACACCAGAATAGCAAAAGTCAGGTGAAAAGGACTGCAGGCTAACTTAGGCAGGGGTGAGGGGTGGTACATCCTTCTGTTTGGAAGTAATCAATGCCGTCCTTCGGACCCCCACACCAGAAGGGGGAGGAGCGTGCGCGTGTTCTCAATGTATTTTCTTTGACTTGCCGGTGGAATAGGAACCAGACTGATGCTTCCCAGAATGGACAAGGAGCCGGAACCGTAAGGTTCTGTTATTATTATTATTGTTATTATTATTATTATTATTATTATTATTATTATTATTATTATTATTTAAAGCAAGGCAGCAAGCAGCATCTAGAAGGCAGACAAACGACACATGAGCAGTGGGCAACAAGGCAGCAAGGCACAAGGGGGAGTGAGGCAGTGAGGCAACAAGGCAGCAAGGTGACAAAGCATATGGCAGCCAAACGGCAAGGCAAGCAGTAGGGAGGGGGCCACACTATGAGCAGTGTCGGGAAGCCAAGCAACAAGGCAAGCAGCACGACAGCACGGTGAGCAGGAAGGTGAAAAAAAAGGCAGTGAGGCAAAACTACCAGGCAAGCAACAGGGGAGCATCAGCAAGGCAACACCGACAAGGGAGTCCACTCATACAACATGGACGGAAGCAGATCATCACCCACTCACACCACAAGTCAAACTGTAGAGACTGCCAGTTCCCGTCACCATCACAGCCATGGAGTCACTGCGACGAATGTCTGTCATTACTCAGGAAACACAGGCACAGACATCCCAAACACCACAGCCCCCTGATAGTGTTACAGGCATACAATCAGGCAATGACTATTTGGCACTACTTTTAGAGGAACTCAAGTAGGGTAATCAGAGAAAGAGGGGAAAAGGGCGAACCACGCAGCAAGTTGACATCAACACAAGAAAACTCTGAAGGAGAAGAAAGAAATGACTTACAGGTAACTTCAACAAATTTATGATTGTGTGTGCGTGCGTGTGAATAGTGCGATATATGCTCTGTGGTGAGGATAATGTTGTTTTTTCACTTTTTTAAAATTATTAATGATAATTTGCGCCATGTTCATTAATCAACGGCCAGGATCAACCGCCAGAAGACACACACTGTGTAAGTGGAATGAGTGCCATTGTTTTCTGTGGACGAGTCGTCATTGCTGCGATGGCTTCTGGCGGGTGCGGGTGGACTTGCAGTATTTTGTGTTTATGTTTCTTCTCTTTTTAATTTTGTTTAAGTAAATAGTGTGATGAAATTGCAAGAACTTTCTTGCTTGCTGGTGATAAGCAGCTGGACTGCTGGCCCCCAAGAATAGATGGGGCTATGTATTCCTTAAAAAAAAAAAAAAAAAAAAAAAATTGCAAGAGGCCGATGGGATTCTAGGTATCTCTGTGTAGTTGGGGACTTATTCAGAAACCTCTTTGATTGGCTGTGTGTCAGATGTGCAGAGAATGGTGTCATGTATGTGGATAGCGAAGTCGACTACGTGCAGGATATGCAAGATGGAGGAAGCACTCTCGTGTGTAAGAACGGACTGAATGTTCAGTGCAGGTTCGTTACCTCTTGTCTTCTTTTCACTTTTTTTTTTCTTTTTCTTTTCTGCCAAGCTCTCTCTGTAAGTGAAAGGATTGCACATGTATCAGTGTCTTGTCCCAGTCCTGTTCCCAGGGTTTCCGAGTCCCATGTACCAAAAGTCCCGGTCTGGTGCGTAGGTAGGTCTTGTGGGTCTGTTAGGTCGCAGAATCAGGTCCGGTCATTACAGTCCAGCTCAGTCCAGTCGGAGGTCCATCAGCCCCAAGAAAGTGAACATTTCGGATGCGTCAAGGGCCCCACTGCAGCCAGCAAGTGAGGTTACCGGCCCGGAAGGTCCGGCGATACTATCTAGACTGTTTGGGATTTTTCCCAAACTGTTTGGTAGATTCCCACGCGTTACGCACCCGTTCGCCACTTTGTTTTCAACTGAGAAAACAACGTTCGACTTGCATGTGTTAAGCATATCGCTAGCGTTCATTCTGAGCCAGGATCAAACTCTGTTTTTTGATTATGGCTTAATTTCTGGAATGTAGGATTTGAACCTACAACAATGAGTTTACCAGTTCCAGTCAATCCAATCTTAGTTAGTCAGCTAGTTGAATTACCAATTGAACATAACAAGGTGTAGCGCAGTCTGGTAGCGCATCTGTTTTGGGTATTGGGAAGCTTGAAGTGTCCCATGCAAAAGTCCGAGTAGCAGTCGGCGTCAACATCTTTCGACTTGTGCCTAGTTCCAGAAGCACTGCTGCAATCTTGCGCAACTAAGTGACGAGCAAGACTGAAGTGCGGCTGAGTGTACAAGTAGTCGACAGGTCCTGGACGCCATAGCTTCCCGGGAAGACATTCAGCTCGAGAGAGCAAGGCCTCGGGGAGAGAGAGAGAGAGAGAGAGAGAGAGAGAGAGAGAGAGAGAGAGAGAGAGAGAGAGAGAGAGAGAGAGAGAGAGAGAGAGAGAGAGA